AGGTTCTTTGCACCTTTCACATTTTTTATTATTATTTGGGATGTGGACTGAGCTAAAACCTTGAATAGGGCAACTGTTATAGCTGGTGACTCCGCTCAAGTCACACAAGCGTATAGCTGGTCATGATCACAAGATAACATTAACACAGAACGTGAGACCAAAATAAATGTTCTGTATAAAAAACCTGGAAAAGGTGTTATGTAGCCTGCTGTTACATATCTATGTTTTCCAAATAAGCAGCGTGAAAGACTGCAAAAATCTGGTCAGAGCTGTATGTTGTGTAGCTACTTTTTTATTCAATATTGTAAGTATTTAAGCCATATTTGTGCCACAAATACAAGCAGTTGTTTTTTGAGATACTGGTGGGATAGAACCAAAGAACGAATATGAGCATGTATATGAATTATATCACTGGGGAGGTTGGCCTTTTTTTCTGTTGTTGTTAGTTTCGTATTTTATTAAAACAAATTTAACATTCAGCCTCTTACTCCAATAACTTTCATATAAAAGTCTACAAAAGTATTTCATTTCAAGTCGCATTTGTACATTCTTAATAATATGCTAAACTCTCAGTGTGATTGAGATCCGAGTCTCAAGGTTCATTATCCTAAAATATTGCAGAATTATTTAAAGCACAAGAGGATCCGACTATAACTATTACCCTTCACCATATTGGAATGCAGCTATTCTGGGTAACTTGGCATTGCGTCTGAAATATGAAAAAAATAGATTGTCCCATATTTCTCCTAATTATAACAGCTGTGATCAATTTTTCCGTTGTTGTTTTGTCCAATTACTTGCTTGACCAAATCCCCACAGTCCTCTTGGATTGAAGCTGGAGCTCAGCAAACGAGCCACTGCCTAATACTGTGTGGAACATTTATCCATGATGTAGAGGTTCGCTTTTCGTGTAAACATATTTAATACCAACTCATTAGCTACATCTAATCCCACATTTATCCTTATAATTTGACTTCCAATCATGAATGCTAATGAGACAGTAATTATGCTTTTATACATGTTCCAGTCCTTAGGTATAGTCCAATAGATGCAGTCAACACATTTGTCCTGATTTTATGCTTTAGTTGTTAGTGTCTCAGACTGCGCGCTGCGGTCTAATATTCTGCTGTTATAGATAAAAAGTATATTTATCATTCTTGAACCACGCAGCAAATAATTGACCAATTATTCAGTGAAAAGGAAGTGCACGCTCTGCATAATGTCAGGTTCCCAAAATGCAGCAAACCTGTTTGTGTAAATGCTCAGTATGCTGTTGTTACTTGTGATTTAACAGCTAACAGAATGGGCCAGGTGCTGTCTTCTGCAGTGAATTACAGCAGAACGGCCAAGAAAGTAACTTCCAGTGGTGAAACGAAGAAGATGAAAAGCGATTATGCGAGGCTGTGGTGAATAGTATATGATGATGTATGAGCCAAACAAATCTACTTTTGGCTTTCACACAACAGCGCATAGGCGGCTGTTACCCCTCATGTAATTAATCTCCATAATCTTTGCCTTTTCAATAAGGGTGCTAATCTAGAAAAGGAGACAGACCTCTTCACAAGCAGACACTGTTTACAATGTTGATTACTTCCTTTGTTATTGTCAGAGTTTGCCTGAAGATACATTAGCTCCTTTCTTATGATAAGCTAGATGGCGTAGATCTCGATATGAGTCAGATCAGTAAGATACTGAAAGAAATACGTTATTGTTAATATGCATGCATGCATGCAGGATTTCTCAAGATAATCCCTGCTCACACACACACACACACACACACATACACACAGGTGTGCACTCACCATCCCACCCTATAGGGGACAAAAAGATGTTTTCCTAATCGGATTTCTGGGCTCATCCTATGATGAGAGTCTGCCCATTTTATTGATCTTATGTTATCTCAAATTGGGAAACTTTGGTCCAGTAAGGAGAGATAGATGGAAGGACTTTTTAAAGTTTCTCTATTGATACCTCAAACCAGGAAAAAATAAATAAATACAAGAAATTTCATAGTAATGCTTTCCTACCCTCGGAGTTCCTCTGTAAAGTCGGTACTCTAATTAAGTTTGCAAATAAATCAGTTTTTCTCTGTTGCATTTCATTTCTGTGCATGCAAACTTACATTTCACACCATATTTCACTTCATTTGATACTTTCCAAATATTATTGTTTTACAACACTAAGTCTAACCAGAATTTATGTCTGTTAATGTCTGTTTGATCAACAGAAGCCCTTTCTTTACTGAGTGATAAGGTTTCTCTAAATAAAATCCATATTTATTAAAAGCTATTAGTACTTACAATTAATCAAATGACAATCACCTCTGTGCTGTGGAAATGGTTTAATTTATTAAAGTGGATATGGAAACTTCAGCTTTTGCAACACAAAGCTACTTAGGAATGGCTTAGCGAGGGTCAACGTTGTGGAGTTGCCAAATCTAAATGTACGTGTGGCAGCTTTAAAGACAGGCTATGTGGTCAGGTTTTTAAACAAATTCAGCAGCAGACAGTCAATTCTTTGTTATTCCTCTACACATTTTACTGTTAGATTAGTCTAACATAAAAAAGTAGAACAAAAACACATGTAAAGGAGGCTTAGACCCCAGTCACACAGGCCTAGAGGCCTGTCACTGACTGTTACTAGGAAAAAATGTGTTTTCTGAGTGGTTGGCCAGTGTTTTCTACAGGTTGCTGGCTGTTGCTTGGTGATATTGATCCGGAAGAGGTGCTACACTGAAAACATCTTTGGGATCGCTTTGGTCGTTAATAGAGGTTGCCAGTAGTTTGCACACATCTGGAAACTCACCAGCTGCTCGTCAACAAGTTAGAGGAAAAGTTCAAATGTGGTCTGAGAGCTAATATTGGTTATTGGTTACACAGAAAACACTTCACCATCTTTTTCTCCAAATGAAGTGCAAACAGAGCCTGCTCTATCCCCCAGAGCTTTTTTATTATCTCATCTTGGTACTATGTGTGTATTTTATTCAAGGTCAGCGGTCCCTAACCTTTTTTGCGCCAAGGACTGGTTTATGTCCGACAATATTTTCACGGACCGGCCTTTAAGGTGTCGCGGAAAAATACAATAAAATAAAACCAGTACCAAAAAAAAGAAGATTTATTCATAACACACGGGAAAAGTCCCAGGAAAACTCAGTTAACGAACCCAGGGAAACCGAGCCTCAACTCTCGCGGCCTGGTACCAGACGACTCACAGACCGGTACCGGTCCGTGGCCCGGGGGTTGGGGACCGCTGTTCTATGTTGTAAATAAAAGTTTAAAATCAGCCTATTCATTTGCATAATGTGATATAAACATGGATAGCTTTGTCCAGAGAATAAATTCTGTCTTTCTTGAATTTATACATCTGCCTCACACACTACTCCCAATTTGTATTTTACATTTATGTTTTGCTGTTAAAAGGTTATTTTCTAGTGATCAGTGCACATCAGTGCACAGGCGATAAAACACGACAACTTCTGAGGGGCTGAATGCTTTTCATAGACATTGTGGCAGCATAGATTTTGACGTTACGGAGAGTAGTTGCAAAGCAGCTTCATCTCATATCTTGTCCCCAAAATGGCAACTTGACTCGTCTGTGCAGCACGTGTATGAGAGGAATTACAATCAAGCTGTCATTACCTTGAGGCCAATTGGTACTGGTAATTGTGAGAGGATGACAACAGGTTGGCCAGAATTAAGGCTCATCTTCCTTTGGCTACTTCAGCACCTGCCTGCTGGCCACAGGCCGAATTTTTTTCTGACAGCCTCAGCAGGAATGATTGATGCCTGAAGGCCTCTGATGGGTGTGTGTGTTTCTCAGTGCCAAGCTGCTTTATCCATCCAGCACCCTCTCTTGAAGCTCATTTAGGTCGCACCTGTCATTGCGCACATTGGTTGCTTGATGTTTTGTCCTTATAGGCTCGTCGTCTGCGGACGCGTACCCTTTAAAGAAAAGCAGCTACTGTGCGGTGATGATAATATTCTGGAAATCGTAATCACCTTTAGCAGATGTCTGGTGCAATGTAGGTTAAGAAAGGTGTAAATCTACATTGTTTAGCTGATGCTGCACCATGCATGTCACTAGGTTTTTCCTGCATCAGGTTCTATAATGAACAGAAATGCTGTTTTTTGCATCGTTTCAGAGTCAACGATCACATTTTTTGTTTTATAAAAGAAAATTTTCCATGGATTTTTCCACCTGGATTCACCCAATCCCTCCTCCCATACACGCACATACCATAGGACCACCTATAAAGAAACAGTTAAACTTTTTCTCTATTGTTTGGTGTTGATAATCTCAGTATTTGCCGTGTGTACAATAACCTGAATGCACTGCAGTATACCAAAGTCTTTATCCTATTTTTATGCCACACACACTCACAGCTCTTTTAGCTCCAAAGAATTTTAAACCTCCCAATGTCCTGATACTATTGCATTTTTCATTGGTATTTTAAGCAAAGAGTTGTGAGGTCTTAGAAGTCAGCTGGCATTAATTCCTCTGAGGCAGAGGGATTCAGCCTCTCCCTGGAAAGAGGCTTAAAAGAAAGTTCTCCTGCTTCCAAATGACTACACTTCTCCTTTCTCACATACATTTTTATATTCCTTAGTGGACAGGAGAACAATAGATAATTGAACGTGACTACGTTTAAAATACAATAGATTCCTTTAATAGAAACTTACTGGGGTGTACTAGACTTGCATATGCAAATACGTTCATTTAACTAAGTTTGAGAAGTTGACTAATTGTCTCATTGTTCTCTATGTTTGTGGGCAACAGACTGTCAGGGGTGCAGGTGTATACATAATAGATCAAAGCGAGAAGAAATACGAGGAAACTGAGATCGTTAATCCTGCTTTGTGGAAAAAAACATGAAATTTAATATATTTTTCAAACTACCATGATAGCAAATTTGAGAAACGAGTGACCAATATCACACAGAGAGGTTTTTCCAATGATGGTATAAGATTAAATTAAGTGACATATTCATGATATGCTGTACATTTTAGGTTCTAATAGCTGCTCGCTAGAGTAAATTTTATCTTTAAATTAACTTCTCCATTCGCATCACATTTATTCTGGCGAGGTTGGAGAACAAGCGGTTGGCGTGCGTGTTGCGATGGGATGAGGTTTGCACAAAGCCGGCTTTCTCGAACAGGGAAATGGCTGCTGTCTGTGGAGAGCTCACATCCAGGATGAGACGGCCGAAGCCTCTCTCTTTGCAGAAATCCAAAGCCTTCCGTGTCAACTGCGAGCCCAAGTTTTTGCGGCGCCACGAAAATGCCACGACCATGTGACACATCTCCCCATAACTTCCATCCCCAGCATCTTGAGCCAGCTCAGAGCCTCCTCCCGTCACTCCGCCATTCCAGTCTTCAAACCTTTCGCCTTCTTCCTCTCCCCTTTTTCCAGTCACTCCCACCATCCCTACCACCTCGGATTGGCCATTGATGTCCGTCTCTGCTACCCAGAAGCCGTTATCTGGGTTTTCCAAGTAGCTGGCCTGAATGTCAGCTAAATCTGAGCTTTGCCTCCTCATCATGTAGCCCTCATAGATATCATGGCAGCAATAATAAATGAGGCCAGCCCATGCACTGCCAAACAGTAGAGCTTGGAAGTAGGAGCTGCCTCCCAGCACATAACCAGCCATCGAAATGCTCAGAGCAACACCAATATGGTCTGGATGGCTCATGGCCTTGAAGAAGGCTGGGTAAACATGCTCAAAAATCCCATCCTTAAATAGTGACATGACCACATGTTGATCTGAAGGTCTATATTCCCTGATGGAGAACTGAACTGCATGTTAGAGGAAAAGAGAAAGAGAAGGGAGGGAGAGAATGAGAACTCGGTGAGACTAATCTGCCTGTTGTTGCAATCAGAAATTCCTGCTGGATTTCACAATGGGCTAAATATGCTCACGTAACCTGTTAAATAAATATAAAATAAATCACTATGCCTCTCACTGATTCTTACCCTTTTCATTTTTAATTCATTTCTATTCCACATAAATATGAAAATGGCATTTTCATGTGACAACCTGAGGTGAAAATCACAATTAAAATTATTACTACTATTAAGATTCCAAGAGTGAGAGTCATTCTGGGGATGCAATACAATTAGGTCTCAAATGTGCTAATGATCGGAATCAAACGAAGGTGATCCTGAGGCAACAAACAAAAGCGTTTTAGTTTTATTGAAACGTGTTTATGTCATTAAGGGACGTTAGCACTGCCATTCATCTGCACCCGTGCTGTCTTATTAGTTCTCTTGTTCATAACCAACATGACGAGAACAACAACAAGAATAGCATAAAAGATGACAATAATCAGAAGTTTAACTTACAATTGTTTTTCTGGGCCATGCTGACGCCTTCCCTTCGTCTTTTGGTCTTTTTCTCACTCTGACAGACTTAAAGCTGCCCCGGACTTAATCTACAGATTGGGATAATCAGCCATTCACAAAAGGGATTGAAATTAGTCTGAGCATGCTCACCTATGCTTTCACCCCACACACACACACACACAGTGTAGAGCTGAAATGACTTTGAAGTATAACTGCTACTGTTTGTATAAAACATTGAGGTTTATATAAGAAATTTTACACTTTGATTTAGATTCTGTGGAAGCGTGCTTTAAGTTAATTGAAATTAAACACAGGATTGTTTTGGTTATTTGATTTTTTTTTACTTAATTGGGCTTAGTCAACAGAGTAAAGAACTCCATCACTGGATTTCTCAGGGAGGATGAGCACAGATCCTGAACATATTAAATCAGAAAAATGATCAGAATGTGAATTCGGGAGCCATTCGAAAACTTCAAAGATACTTCCAAGAATAAAATGTTCTTATTAACCACTTTTTTGGGTGCTTCGGTTTTGGTGGTTTTCTCTCGGGAATCTGCTTTGGATCTCCAGACCGCTTCTTCCGCACAATATAAGGTGAAAGTAAAATTAATATTGTCTAGGCCCCTGACATAAAAGTGTCCTATAGCGCTGGTGACAGTGTCTTGTGCAATAACCCGGTGGCCCTCTGACATGATTAAATTTCCTCGGCAGGAGAAAGGCCTTTACACCTGTTTAAATCAATAGCACTGCCTCATGAATCTGTGAGCCCTGGAAGGTCAAGCAACTGTGGAACTTTCTGAAACCATTTCACATCCGCAGAGTGAATTCTGAATGCAGAAGTGAAACCTCCTCCACTCCTGTAATCACGTTCGGTAAGCATGTATTTTTTCTTCTGTTTACATTCAGAGGCCTTTATCACAAAGTCCTTAACTCTCATCTGCATACACAGTTAGTTGCATAAACCACGCCAAATTTACGCACTAATTAAAACCTTTAAAGTCATGATCTTTGGTTATGTGGCCTATGTAGACACATTGAATTGAGAGTCCTGAGGCTGATGTAATGCAACGATAGGTTAAATATTAAGCTTACCTAATAAACCTTTTACAGTTACAGTTGTTCGGTATTCATCGCATGTAGGGTTAGTCCTTATTCTTTGTGTGATGGTGAGAAAATAAATACCCCTCTGTACATCCATAATGATGATCCATCCAACAAGGACGGTTAACCTGAATGAATATCCAGACTGAATACTGACATACAAATGTACTGAAGTGCAATTGAAAAGTTATACAAGCCCAGTCCTGGCGCTGAATGAATCTTAACAAAGTAATTCAAATCTGCAAAATAACTTCTGCTACTCAACAATAGATGGCAACTTACTTACCAGCTTGCTGGTTTGCATTGATGTTATAAATGGAATGGAAACAATTCAAAAGGTTCACATTCACTGACTGTGAAGTTCAGTTTTGTCTGGCATTAATGCTTAAAGATACTTTTTTTGCACTAAAGCAACATACTCTGAAATCACATCATCTTTCAAAGGCACATTTGTAATGAAATTAAAAGATGTTTCATTTCATCATTTTTCCTTCCATCCATCTTCGTTCATTTGTTCAGTTCAAAGTTGTGGGGAGGCGAAAAAAATCAAAAATATCCCACATTCACAACCAAGGCTAATTTAGACTTACCAGATAACCTAACACATGGGAGGAAGGAGTAGTTACACAGACAGAACCCACGCTAGCACAAACCTTTTATTTTTATATGTCTTTACTCAACAAATGTGAGAAAAATGCTATCCTCAAAGTGTCACTTGGTTTATCCTGACTGTTGGTGATTTTCTGGGGAACATAATCGCAATCAAAAAACATGAATAAGATGAAATGTTTGCCATCAAAGGCTACATATGGATTCTAACAGAATGATGTGTGGACAAATATCTTAAAAAGACAACACACAGTTGTGGAGTATAAACTCTTCAGAAAAGCAGGTGACAACAGCTCTTGGTCACCAGTTGGGGGTAAAAGCTACAGATTGAGTCAGTGTAGTAAATTCACCTGTGTGATGACCTTGAAGACAAGCTTCTACTCCTACGTGCTGATTCATACTGAAAACCTGAAAAGTAAATGCTCTTTTCTTGGGAAAGAGTAGCATTCCGTAATAGTGTAGATCAGGGTCAGCAAATGATGTGTGAAGAAGGACAACCTAACTGTAAAAATCACCGTGTATTGACAAAAGTACCTAAGGTGAACAGCATTATACATGTCTGAAAAGGCCGATTATGCTCTTGGAGTCACCACCGTTCACGTTAAAGTTATTGCTGAGCATCTTATTTCTAAACACAAAAGTTAAAACCATTATTTGAATTAATAAGAATATGCTGTAGCATTCATCAAGTCACATTTGTTCATGAAGTGTCACGAATTGCTTTCAGTACATAACACCTCATCATCACAGGTAATATTAATCTCACTTGATAGAATTAGTTAAGAGTGCTTCAGAATTGATTGCACATTGTCTTGAAACAAAAAGTCGCAAGTTAAAAAAACTATTGAAGTTGCCCTGGAAACTAATCACTCTAGACTAACTACATGGTCCATTTATAATGGAGACTATAAACTAATGAGCCTGTTTCGTATGCTTGTCATAGAAGTATGACATTAAGACATTAACCCATTATATTACTGAGATTTTCTCTTCCTATCCAGTCGCCATCATTTGAAAACACCCAAGAAACAGTTATTTTCAACCCACTGCGTCTCCAGCAGTTCTGAATTTAACTTTGCTTGTCATCTCCTTTGACACAAAAGTACATATACACTGAGCTAACACTCTCCAGAGATTTCCAGTTAGCCTTGCTATAATGGTAGACAGTGTATTTTCTATCTTTAGGCTTTTTGCTCAAAGGCAGCATTAAAATAACATGCGTTGAGAACAGCGGACAACATGTCATGTGACTGTAAGAAAGGAATAACATCCACTTTTAAATTTGCGTATTTACCATTATGTCATGAGTTTCAGAAGTACATGCAGGCAACTGCTAGCTGCTTTCTTCTGCGCTTTGTGCTAAGATAAGCTAGCTGGCTAACTGACCTATATTTACTTTGTGGCTATAAAGGCATAAATTCGTAAAGTTTTTATTAATCTTATTAGCAAAAAAAAGCCCCGAGATGGAAAAAAAACAGCAACTTAACAAAGCTGCAGAAAACGTCTGTCAATTTTCCATCGATCTCAAGCCATGCATTGCATTTTCAGATAAGTTTACAGTTACTGTTACCGAATTTCTATCACCTAAAACTGCCATAGCCCCTAAGTACGGAGCCCCGCAGGGGACATGGGAGAAAAAAAAATTAAGACGGACTTTTGCGAGATCTCGCAAAACTAACTCGGGATCTCGCAAAATCTCGCAAAAGTTGAATTCCAACAATGGCGGCAGCTACTTAGTTGTAATATTACTCTTTCTGGGTCACAAAATACACTTTTAACATATTTTCAGGCGTGCATGTAGTTGTGTAAACGTCAGATACCTGCTCGGTTTACAAGACATCACATATTTGCAAAAGTGCTCCAACGTTTTCGGAGATCTGACACCCACTAGCTCGAAGCTAACGGGAGGTCGAGACCTACTACAGCCGGGAGGAACGTCGCTTTCCCGGCACATCGTGCCTCGACCTCCCGGTTGGCTTCGAGCTGGCGGCCTCCGAAGAATGCGGCTAAAACTTTTGCGAGATCCCGCAAAAGTCCGTCTTAATTTTTTTTCTCCCATGTCCCCTGCGGGGCTCCGTACCTAAGCACCACTTAAGCAGTGTTTGCTTTTGATCTTGCAAAGCAAGATCCACTTATAGTTCAAACAGACCTATGAATTTTAGATCTTGATGGATCACTAATGCTTCATTTAGTAGGCATTAATGAGCCATCACATAATTAGTTTTTGGATAAGGGAATAATATTTTGGTTAGGTTAGCACAAGCCTCTGGTTTAATGTTAAACTGAATAGACTGAAAACTAAATACAAGAAAACGATGCCAAAAACTATAAACAAGGAACTAAAACTAAGAAACTGGAAAATTACTACTGGAACATAGAACTTGGAATTATAAGGAGGACCACACAACAACATGCAGAGGAAGACAGAGGAATAAATACACAGAGGGTGTGAGAAAAAGAAGCGAAACACAGCTGGAACAGATCTAACCGAATAGACAGAGAGGAAGCAAAACAGAATAAATTAACACAGGACAAGGGACTATCAAAATAAAACAGGAAACACAAGAAACACACTGACAGGCAGACTGGGACTGGGGAAGAACAGACATGAGAATATAACTGACTAGGGAGACAGAAAGACAACACAATCAGGACACAGGAGATGCACAAACATGGAGACAAGGGTGACTAGATGTGACACAGGAGAGGCACAGAAACAAAACCTAAAGACCAGAGACTAACTGGTTCTAGTTCTCTTAGAAAATAACTAAGAGAACTAGAAATACAAATGACTACACCGTGAATAACACTAAATCCTCACAAGGGTTGAAAGAGAGTGTTTAACTGCAGTCCCACATTTCAGGCTTTGGAGGCAACTGAGACCAAACTGAGGGGCTAGACCAACTGAGCAACATCCATTTGAGTATTTTGGCTCAACCAGCCTTGTAAAATTAACTGGTGGGCATGGTAGGCAGGCATTGATCTCCTCTGACTGAAAAAACCTGAGTAAGGGTAGTTCTGAAAATGCTAACCTACTACACTTTAATGCCATAGAATCGTGCTTTCTGTCACTGCTGACCTACTTGATTAGCTCAAGATAACAACTTTAATCTTCAAAGAAAATCAAAGTTATGTCAATATTTGTTTCACTTCATGTGTGAATAACGGGAGATGCCTAATAGTAACTGCACAAAAAAGAACACAATGTCTGAATGCGAATCTGCACCTTTTCATTTTGTTTTTTTAATCACACGTTGCAGTATAATTGTACAAAGAAACCAGGGTGCACGCTTTGGTTGTCTTGGACAACCCTTTTAGATTACGAGAGATAAGAAAGCA